TTGGAAGTCGCTTTTTCACTAATTTTCTTTATATATATCATACAATTCTACACACTGTCGATTTGAATTATAGGGGAAGTCTAAAAAAATGAGTGACGTATGTTTCAAGATAGCACGTGGTAGTAAGTAGCCTTAGCAGGTGACTGAAACATCATAAAAAACAAATGTACTAAGACCTGAAAGATGCTAACACGTGAGCGTGATAGTCTTACATACAAAAGTCTTCTATCCGTACCTGGACTTCCAGCTAGATACAGAAAAGTGAGGAGTTAAAGTTTGTGGAGTAGCTTATTGGTGGGTTGTCATTTGAAAATACATTAGCCTTTTAATAGTTTTTGCTCTATAAAAATTCATCAGTATTCTATAGTCAAGAATCTTTTGGAATTGCCTAGTACGTTGTAGCGCACTTCGTCGTCATCCTCAAATTGAGGCGTGGCGTCGAAGTAAGCGACAGGCTCCTCACTGGACACATCAGGTATTACACGACTATTACGATGAATTTTATCTTGGAACTGTTACAATTGGAACGCCAGGTATATACAAGCAACATCTTATAAACTTACTGGCTTGCATCTTTTTCAAAGGGCAAGAACTTTGGCTGGCCATGGACACTGGCTCTTCTATTATTTGGGTCATTGATGAATCTTGCGATAGTCGCGAGTGCAACGGCTATCCTAATAGTGGTCTCAATAAACGAAAATTTCATAAAAAATTCTCGAATACCTTCAAGTCCTACGGTAAACCATTTTCGATAAGTTATCATACAGGATGGACCAGCGGGACAGCTGCAGAAGATACAGTCCGCTTCGGAGGTAATTTGTTAAAAAGTCTAATTGGTATAGTTTTCCATAGGGTTACAAATATTTCCAGGCTACGCACTTAAAGGTCAAAAAATTGGAGTTGCAAATAGACTGGCACCGTTTCTTGCACAGATCCCCATAGAAGGAGTATTTGGACTAGGCTTGCCCTCCGAGATAGCAACTGGCAATGTGGGTTGAGTTAACAAGATTTTAAGTTCTTAAAGAAATTACTTGCAGTTGATCTCTCCTATGGAAGCTCTTGTACCACATCTAAGTATGAAGCTCATCACAGTATGGATGAATAGAAAGGTTGTTTATATTGGGTAGTCGAAAAAGTCTTTTCGTATTTTGTCCATAGATGTCGTTGGAGTCGTATATCCCCAGT